CAGTCATAACAGCATAGGATTAAAGCAATCTTATACCAATAATACATACTTTGTGACACGTTTTTTCAAGAAATCTTCTTAGGAAATTGTTTCAACCAGGCGGCCCACACTTTAAACGTCCTCAGCCTCTAAACAACCCAATTTCTGCCACCTCGAGCACTGCACGGTCTAGACCCCCAAAAACCTTACGAGTCCCCCAAAACCCTACAAGTCCCCCAAAACCCTACAAGTCCCCCAAAACCCTACAAGTTAATAGGACCCCCCGTCCTGATTTTTGAAATCCCTCCGAAAAAACAAGAAAATCGGGGGAAAAAAGAGGGAAAAAGCTGGAAAAAAGAAGAAGAAGAAAAATGTCTAGCATTCTTCGTTTTGAGATGTTCGATTGTTATTTTTAATAATAGGAACCCCATTCTTGAAATCCCTCGGAAAAACCAAGAAAGCAGGAAAAAAGCGGGAAAAAAGAACGGCATTAACATTCTTGATTGAGGTGGAGAGATGAGCAGTAAAACGCAACCCCATGGTAATGTCTTTTCTACGCTTTAAATGTGATGGTGTTACTTGTAATTTTTTTTTTTATATTTTTATTTAATAAATATTTTTGTATCTCTCATCTGGTTCAAGAAAGTTAACATGATTCAACTTATATTGTTATTTTCAAAATGTAATGTGGCTGAAAGTATCATCGGATTAGACCAGCAAAAGTAAGGTGCATTTTCCTTTTTTTAGTTCAAGAAAGTTAAAATTGAGTTGGGTGTTTAAGTGCAAATTGTAAAACGTTTTACGGCATGTAAGTGCTACCTGAAAGTTAAAATTGAGTTGGGTGTTTAAGTGCAAATTGTAAAACGTTTTACGGCATGTAAGTGCTACCTGGAGCTAAAGTAAAGCTACATAAGTGCATAGCTGAAGAAACTGTTGGGCATTTAAGTGCAATTAAGCCTAGAAAAATATCATCGGATAAGACCAGCCCAACATACATTCGCAAGCCCATTAGAGCTACAAAGCCCAAAAATCTAGCCTGCAGTGCACCCTACGAAAAATTGACCTCGGTGTTTAATTTACTCTGCTAAAACTAAAATAATAAAAGGGTTTAGTGAAAATCAACCCCCAACTCAATTTTGACACGGGGTTTAAAGAGGCGGTTTGAGTCTAGAAACGAGGGGGGGGGATAGAAAATCAAAATTCTGGATTAAAAATATGAACACCGGTGAGATAAAACCTAATCCCTATCAATGTCCTTTTTCTTAAATTAAAAGTTCAAATTTCTTTAACTCATTCGATTTGATTATAACTTAAAAGCTTTGTAGTCCACGTAAGGATTTCTAATTTGACAAGCATCTGATGATCGTAGACATTTAAGACGCTACGTAAAGTAATTGAGAATCCTTAATTGATTAGAATTACCCAATTCTTAATTTAATAGGAATCGCGATTGTATTGCTAGTTGGGTCTAAATAGTTTTCAAACCCCAACGGGGTTTCTCGAGTTCGAGCATACGTTTATTCGAATTAAATTTAAAAAAAACCATAAAATTATGCATCTAATTAAAAATAATAATGGCACCAGCCCAACATGCATTTATTCGGCCCATGGGTTGATTGAAACCCAAAAAACTGTGATATTTTTGGGTTTATAAAAAAAAAAGTTTATGGGACCTATCTGAAGCTACTCAAGGGATTTCCACATTGTCCCCTTGCATGCTTAATATATGTACAACAAATATATGCAAAATGCTAGACATCGAGAGATAGACTAGGCACTGTTTGGCAACCAAAAAAAGTATCTTATCTAAGAGCTTGTGTCTTATCGACTTGGTCAATAAGCTAGTAGAGCTGTTTGGTGACCAAAAATAGGAGGAGATTATTTTAGAGATTGTGTCTTTTACAAGTAGCTTTTGAAAAGCTACCTCAAGTAGCTTTTGAAAAGCTACCTTAAGTAGCGTTTGTCTTTGGGAAGGAGCTGCTAATTTTTATTTTCCGTTTTTTCCCCTAATAATTCTAATTTTATATCAATAATATTGCATGTCTTTTTTAGTCATTTAACAAACTTAAGCTAGTTGTACAGCTACTTTTGCCAAACAGCTCTAGTTAATCAGCTAGCTACACAGCTAACAGCTTTCAGCTACAATTTCACAGCTTTCAGCTAGCTTAACAGCTTTCAGCTATAATCTCGCAGCTTTCAGCTAGTTTTGCCAAACACAGCCTACCTAAATCTTATCTCAGTCCAGTGAAACGATCTTTAGGCAGATTTTTTTATAAAAACAGTGGATATTTTGAACTTTGTCCCTCAAAATCTTTGGAATTTTTATTTAATTTTCCAAATCTTAGTATTTACTTCAGATTGGTCCTCGTAATTGTCTACATCGTCATGATTATTCAGCCATACCACTCTGTTTAAGTTACCGAATAATCCAACCGATTTTGATACGGAGGCTGGGTGACGACTAATCGGGAGTAGATGATGTAGTCAAACCGCGCAGAGGAAAAACAACCGATCAAACATGGGTTAAAAACATTAGGCAGAATAACAGGTTAGGGGCTAATGTATAATAAGTAAAAGGTTGAGGGACTAAATAGCAATATAATGTTAAATAGACTAAATTCATTAATCATCAAAATATAAAAGGCCGAGGAACCAAATAATGAGAAAAAAGTGTTTTCCCAATCGATCTACTCATAAATAAAATCTGCGAAAAAGGCAAAGGTGAAAAAAGGTTGTATTCACCTTTGGGCAATTAATGACCCCTCACAGCATCTCCAAGAGCTCCCTTATCTCATGTCCTTGAGTAAATTTAGGGAGTATGAGGGGAAAAAATGACTCCAACAAGCTCCCTATAATGAAGACTAAATATAGGGCTTATGATTTGGTATTCCAAGTCAAAAATAAGAAATGACTCTCTATATTTAGTCTCAACATAAGGAGCATTGCTGGAGCAATTCCCCCCTCTCATACTTCTTATGAGATACGAAGCCATTTGAGGAGCATTGTTAGAGCACTTGCTCATTATTTGGCTCCATATTTCCTATGATGAGAGATTTGCTCCTCAAATATAGGAAAAACCTAAGATCATTGTTGGAGATGCTCTCACGCCGTTGTGAAGTGACCTCTTCACCAACAACTGTGGCAAGACGTGGGCCCCACATTTTGCCAACAAATAGTAGATTTCCCACCTGGGCCCCACATCCACGGAGGGGGGAACAAAAAACAAAAAACAAAAAACAAAGCATCAATCAAAGATCCAATCTTTAGAGCAGCTCCAACCGGGCTGCATTTCTCCAAAATGCAGCCCGGTTGGCATCCAACCGAACTCCAAATTTTGGAGCTTGGCTGCAAAAATTCCCACTCGGCTGCATATTTGGAGTTTTTGCTCCAAATATGCAGCCCCCTCTATTTCACTATTCCCCCTAAAAAATAACAATATTATCCTTCTAACTAACTAATTATTTTTAGATATTCAACTTAAAATCAACATAAGTTTATTTCTACTAATTATTTTTAAATAAAAGTTTTACAGTTGGAAATGTTTTGTCGATATCTTTAAAATGAGACCAATATTGAATAATATTAATTGAAATATAAAATTTCAATAACCAAGTAAATAAAAAAGAAAAAGTCATTATTTCATTAGTAAAAAAATTTACATCGCTTCATTTCCATGTCTTTCCCACAAATGTTCAATCAATGCATTTCGAAGTGAATATAGTTATGTAGGAAGTCAATACGGAATACCTGACTACAGAAGCGGTGGATATGGAGGAAATGGCCTACCCGATTTTTAGTTTTTTTTCATGTACTTTATTTTTCTATGTAATGCTGCTGAATGTAATATATAAAATTTCATCATTCGGAGTAGCTGTGAAGGTTATTCCGAATATTATGCTATATTTTCTGTTTTTTAAAATTTAAAAGCTTTTATCTATGTCTTTTTATCAATTTATTAAAGATAATTAATTTTATTTAAATAATGAGTATATTATATATTATACTTTTAGTATTAATTTATAATATATTTTATATTTTAAATTAATTCATATAATTTGTTAACATTTTATATTTTTAAACCTATTAAAAATATTATAAAAGAAATCATCAATTGAAAATACAAATAGAGCTTGGGGGTGGTTGGAGTGCCCCCTTTGAAAAAGCATATGTCCAATAATACATTGGAGTTGCTCTTATTAGGGTTTCCCGACACAACCCCCCTCCACACCCCCTCGCTCTGTTGAAATTTATTTTTATTTTAAAAATTATTTAACCATCACCGTTATTATTATGAGAATTCTCGGGATGATGATCTGGTAAGGTAAGCGTCTCGTTGATTTCGTTCTCCTTTCTCATCCTCCGTTTTTTCCTCGGCTGTTTGATCTGATCTCTGCCAATCGATCGAGCTGAAGCGAGTTATTACTAGAATCTAGATCAACGAGCTCGGTTTCGTTCGAGGAATTCGCTAAGAGAGGTAGCCTCCACGGCCCCTACCCCACCATCATGAAGCTCGATTTGATCGATCTTATTAGATGGTAATTGATTCGAAATTATTTATTAGATGGTTAAGCTTGGCTTTTGATTAGCTTCAGTTATGTATTACTCTAAAAATCACATCAAACTTGTCGCTATGTTACTTTACCCTTCAACTTCATTTTTAAAGATCTGCCATCGAATTAGAGTAGAGAGATTAATTTATGGGTTAGTTGTGTAGGTGAGATAATTACTTTTAGTTATTACTTGATATTGATTAACCTTAGTTTTTAGTTTTCAGTTAATAGTTGATTTTTTTGAAATTAGGTTTGCACTTTGCAATCACTATATGCAAAAAATCTTATCGTTACATAATCATGTTTAGTTTGGTTTATGTTGTGGACCTGATTAGGAATTAGAATATATTTTGTTAAGTTAAGAACTCCAGAGTTGGAAGTATTTGGTTTTGTTTAGACTTGTTTTTATTGCTTTAAACTTGATGGTGCTGGCATAATACATGATGTACTAAGATAAACATCACATCCTAAATCGATGTGAGAGGTGGGAGGGATGACTGAAATGAAGGGCGGACATGCTGAAATGAAAACTGGGGACTTGGGAGGTACCTTTGGAAATAAGCAAAGATTTGAGGGGTAAATATAGAAGCAGCCCTTGTTTTAGGAAGACATGGTAGATTCAGGGGTATAGATTGAAAAGGATGTGGTTTCGTTTGAAACTAACTAAGTTTGGATGATTTATATATGATTTAACAAAGATTGGATTGAGGGTCTAGCGTGAGAAATAAAAGCCAAACATCCAAGAGCTCAGAGCTTAGAGAATCACATTTAGCTTTTTAGAAGGGCTGAGAACTCCATCGAAAATACAATCGGAGAGCAAAAGAGAAGGAAACGATGGATAAAGAAAAAAATCCAAAAGCAAAAGAAGGTGCCAAAGAGCAGTAAGTTTATTCTCCTCAACCTATGAAGAAAGTCTTTGATCATTCTCAGTTAATCACTCACCTCATTCTTGTAGATCCTATCCATTTTTTTTTGCAAGTTTTGTGGGGAGCTTTTCAACTCCCTCAAGGAGATCTTGCTCCATGTGGGAGCACACTGGGCCCTTAAGAAGCCTGAACCATGATTAATATGAGGTATGATTTGGATTCAGATTGATGCATGCCAAGTGTTTGATGAAATGAGTGGAAAAAGGAAATAGACTGCGTTAAACGAACATTTGATGACCTAACTCATACATCATATTAGTCATGGTTCAGGCTTTTTAAGGATCTAGTGTGCTCCCGCATAGAGCAAGATCTCCCTGAGGGAGTTGAAGGACTCCCCACAAAACTTGTAAAAAAACTAGATCGGATCTACAAGAATGAGGTGAGTGATTAACTGAGAATGATCAAAGACTTTTTTTTCATAGGTTGAGGAGAATAAACTTACTGCTCTTTGGCACCTTCTTTTGCTTTTGGATTTTGTCTTTACCCATCGTTTCCTTCTCTTTTGATCTCCGATTGTATTTTCGATGGAGTTCTCAGCCCTTCTAAAAAGCTAAATGCGATTCTCTGAGCTCTTGGGTGTTTGACTTTTATTTTTCACGCTAGACCCCCAATCCAATCTTTGTTAATCATATATAAATCCTCCAACTTTTAAGTTAGTTCCAAATCAAACCACATCTTTTTCAATCTACACCCTTGAATCTACCATGTCTTCCTAAAACAAGGGCTGCTTCGATATTTACCCCTCAAATCTTTGCTTATTACCAAAGGCAACCCCAAGTCTCCAGTTTTCATTTCAGTATGCCCGCCCTTCACTGAAAACTGACCCGCTATACTGACTAAACTAACCTTTTGTAGCTAATTAGTTATAAACCCCATGTTAATTAACCGCCGGCCCCCTAAAAAAAAGCAATCTGGCGATATTCTCTCTTGAAAACCTGATGACCAGGCCCCCGACCTGTTCCGAGCTCTCCTGCCATTCTTCTCCCCCACTTAATTCTTCTCCCGTGCCTGCATCATGTTTGAAGCATCATTGGTGCCCAAGTGTTTGTAGGAATGCCTCAACGGGATAATAGCAAGCGTGCAGCATGTTCGTTGCTGTGTTTCACATTGTACCAATCTGTTTGTCAAAATGCATCAATGAAGCAGAGCGACGTGCTTTTCAGCTGTCCATGTAGAATACTATCACCCTTACCATATTACAGCAGACCATACGAAACGCAACCATGCAACCATCTAATCCATGTAATTTCAATCTAAACACTGATACACAGTTCTTAACACATCACATGACTAATCCATGTAATTTCAGTCTAAATACGCAGCCTCCCTCTTCAAATTGAAGATGGTAGAATCCAGAAAGGTGAAAAGCATGAATCAGTCAGGTTCGTACATGACCGAGGCCGGTCCGCCATCAACGTCCCTTCATCCATGTCAAAAGTGCACAAATCGCCATCCTCGACATAACGGATGCAGTTCCCTTTCAATCCCAGCTTGCTTGCCAAACAGGATGTTGAACAGCCAGTCGCTCAGAAAGAAAACTCGATCGCCAATTTCCCTCACTGGCTCCCACGCTTCCTTCTCAAAGTCCATCTTGTAAATACCAATGCCAGCTTCTGTTCGGCTCCCCAGCAGCAAATTCCTCATGACGAGAAAGATATCTCTGCAGGATTCAACCATGGGAATCCACAGATGCACATATTCCAGGCAATAGTTCGGGTCTCTCTACTCTGACAAAAGAGGTTTCAGGGCAGGGAGCAGTATGTATAAGTACAAGGTTCTTGCGGAGCGTGATCCCGTAAATTTTTCCATTTAACCCGATGACATTGTTAAGAGCATCCTCCTCTCCGAGATTTTTATTGCAGTCGTGAGAAATCCAACTTTGTTCAGATCCTAGGTTGCAGAAGTGAACTCGCGGGTTGTTGAAGTCAGCGAGCATCACGACACAATCAGGGTTATTTGGGGATGAAGATAGTATGAGCTTGTGATCCCTGCGGCCCTCAGTATCTTCAAGATTCAGATAAGGTTGCAGGGCTCAGCAAGAAACAACAGGGGGAGAGTCTTGGCCGTGCGCGAGAACCCATCCTAGCGGAGATGGCCAGCAAATTCTCTACATTTTCAATTTCAGGCACATCTCCAACAGAGAATCCACTCCCATTCAAGCCGACAGTAGTTTGTGAGAATTTGTCATCTTCCTCATGGTCGGAGACGAGGCTCGGACCTGACATCGATTCTTTCGTCCCTTCCATCGGACTTCCTGTGACAATCAGTGTTTTTTTTTTTTTGCAACAATCAGTGTTTTTTTTCCATCGGATTTTTTTCCCTTCAATTTTTTACATGTTAAACATAAATTTAAGTGCAAGAGGTAGTTATTCCTCTTTGTGTTAGAGGTGTATCTGCACATGGCTCTTTGTTGTATCCTAAAACTTAGTCAATCTTGAAGAAATTATAATCAACTCTGATGTAAATAGATGACCATTTAAGATGATTAAAATTGTGAACCATAGAGATAGTTCCCTCTACTTTACACTTGTATACCCTCAATTGTTTTTAGCGGTGCTTCATACTTTAAGTTTTTAAAATTTACACTTTAATACCCTCAATTACGTGGGAATGGGAATTTCCCCAAATTTTTCATAGGGCCATCACATGCCAATTTTAGAACACATTTTAACTCTTAATAACCGTCAAATTTACCATTAAACCTATCAAAATTCTATTTAACATTAGAATTAGAGTAGGTTTAAAAAGGATAACGTTAGCTCCAACAGTAAAATTAGTAACCTAATGAGGCTTAATTGCACTTTATTACCCTATAGTAACCTCCACTTTACCCTATAGTAAATTATATTTAACTAGTTATCTCTTCCACCTAACCAACCAAGGTTGACAACTCACCCGGGAGCGGAGATGTATCAAACCACCAGGGGGGAAAACAATTGATCAAACACGGATTGGAAACATTAGACAGAATAACGGGGGAGGGGCTAATGTAGAATAAGTAATAGTATTTGAGGGACTAAATAGCAATATAATGTTAATTAAATGGGAAATTTTGCTTGGAGGAACCAAAAAAAGTTGGCCTATGCATCCCCCTCTACAGCCCCAAAATCATAACCCCCAAGCCTTTAAATTGAAACATAAGTGTAACCAACCCCCAAACAGTGTAGAGGCCCCACTGCCCAAGAAATTCTTTCCCAATTTAAAACCCAATATCTTTCCTCCTCAAGCTGACCCTAATCTGGCCCATGACCTCCCCTCCTCTCCTCCTCTCCTCCCCTCCTCCTTCCTCCTCATCTGTATATTCTCCTCCTCCCCGACCCTTCCTCGGCTCCGTCCGCCTCCAACATATGTGGTTATAAGTATTATTATGTAGAAGAATACTATATATAAGTATTTATAAGTATATATAATATAGTTGTAAGTATTGTTATATATAAATATATTATATCTAAATATATATACGTATACCATATAATTACATGAGTATACTTATATCAGTATAGTATAAGTATATAAAAATACATACATATACATATGTAGAAAAAATGTATATGAGCTGACATTCCATTTTGCACGGGTTGTCCATTATTTGTAAGCTTCGAATTAATCTTACAGTATTTTTTTCGTACCGGGGAGGATCCAAATTATTTAAATAAGAAAATAGTGAGCTAATTATAAAAAAAAAAGAAAATGAGTTTTTACATAGCTGAATCAGCTACGTAGCATTTTTACCTAAAAAATTAGGTACGTCTCAGCGATGCTATTTGGCTCGCTCCCCCCCCAGCTCGCTCTCAACTCGCAGAGAGCGGAGCAGGGGGACGGGGCCACAGCTGTGGGCCCAGCTGTGGGCCCAGCTGTGGGCCCCACCCCCTGCTCTGCTCTCTGCGAGTTGAGAGCGAGCTGGGGGGTGGCGAGCCAAAGAGCATTTTCGCGTAATTTACTTCATTAATGATTCACTTACAGCTGTTTCAATCTCTGTGCTAAAACTAAAAAATAATAGGGGTTTTCTGAAAAAATAACACTACAGTCCAAAACTTGCTCAACTCGGAACACTATTACTAAAAGGCGGTACGAGTCGAAGGGGAAAAGAATCAAAAACCTCGTAAATAAAAAAAGGAGAGGAAAAAAAAAACCCTAGTTTTTATCCAAAATCGAAGAATGTGGTGATCTCGTTTCCCCGTTTCCAATAAAAATTGCCGCCATGGATTCGACCGACGGATTCAGCGTTTCTCCTCCGAATCGATCCCCAGACAGAGGTGATTAGATCTTAATGGCCTATTTGTTTTGGTCAAGGAATGCAATTGAACTTTTTCCCTCAGTCAAAGATCCAATCTTTTAGGGTTATCTCTTCGCAGCCTCTGATCTGTTGATCTTCTTCTTCTTCTACCTCTGTTGAATTTTATTTTATTTTTTTGAAAAAAATTATTTAACCATCACCGTTATTATTATGAGAATTCTCGGGATGATGATCTGGTAAGGTAAGCGTCTCGTTGATTTCGTTCTCGTTGGTTTCGTTCGAGGAATTCGCAGGAGATCTCTGCCCCGCCCTCCGCGAATTCGATGCGGATCTAAGAGAGGTAGCCTCCACGGCCCCTACCCCACCATCATGAAGCTCGATTTGATCGATCTTATTAGGTAATTGATTCGAAATTATTTATTAGATGGTTAAGCTTGGCTTTTGATTAGCTTCTTGTTAGATGATGCTGTTTTGAAGATGGGCGCATGCCCAATTTCTCATGTATTTTTCGACAAGTTGAGAGGTAAGTGGGGTTTGTGACCGCCACGGGTAATCTCCAGTTTGTTTAGGGTTTGCCAGGGTTTGATAGGTTAGGGTGATTTGTTTTGAGGAGGGAAGCGAGTGCGGGGTTCTTGGTGGCTGGGGGTTCTGTGATGAGGGAAACGCTACTGGGGTGGGGGTGATAACTCAAAAACTGAAAAAACAATTTGAAAAGCGAAAAAGATGAAAAAAAAATTAATTTCTCTCCTCTTTTCTTCTATGTCCATTAACTTTCTATATATTTTTTATATCAAGTAAAATAGGCTAAAAAGCTGACATGACACCCTTCACTTTCCATTTATTTTTCGGACCACTTTTGAAGTGCCAAATGGAGAAAAATAAAAAACAGAAAGTGAAGTCACCTTACAATATGCGATCCGTCTTCCATTTACTTTTTGGTTGCCAAACAAGACCTATGTAGATGGGTAGCGGGGGCCGAGCCGGTCCAGGCTTATGACTGGGCGGTCTGGGCTCACAGGATTCAGGGTCAAGTCCGGGTCAGAATGAGTTGAGCCTGCTTCTATGATTCCAGGTCTGGGATTGGACCCAATCCGGCCCACGACTCGCCTAAGAGTGGGCCGGGTCGGGTCGGACCTGGTCACGATCCATGGGTCGTGGGTCGACCAATGTTTATTTTGATATTTTCATTTTTCCACTTCAAACTATATTAACTTTGTATTCATATTTATAAAATTATATCTAATTTATTTATTTCCTATTTCAAACTCTTTATTGAAAATGATACATACATGTTGTACTAAGATAAACATCACATCCTAAATCGATGTGAGAGGTGGGAGGGATGATTGAAATGAAGGACGAGCATGCTGAAATGAAAACTGGGGACTTGGGGGGTACCTTTGGAAATAAGCAAAGATTTGAAGGGTAAATATAGAAGCAGCCTTTTTTTTAGGAAGACATGGTAGATTCAGGGGTATAGATTGAAAAGGATGTAGTTTCATTTGAAACTAACTTAAAAGTTTGGATGATTTATATATGATTAACAAAGATTGGATTGGGGGTCTAGCGTGAGAAATAAAAGCCAAATACCCAAGAGTTCAGAGAATCACATTTAGCTTTTTAGAAGGGCTGAGAACTCCATCAAAAATACAACCGGAGAGCAAAAGAGAATGAAACGATGGGTAAAGACAAAATCCAAAAGCAAAAGAAGGTGCCAAAGAGCAGTAAGTTTATTCTCCTCAACCTATGAAAAAAAGTCTTTGATCATTCTTAGTTAATCACTCACCTCATTCTTGTAGATCCTATCCATTTTTTTTGCAAGTTTTGTGGGGAGCTTTTCAACTCCCTCAAGGAGATCTTGCTCCATGTGGGAGCACACTGGGCCCTTAAGAAGCCTGAACCATGATTAATATGAGGTATGATTTTTTCATAGGTTGAGGAGAATAAACTTACTGCTCTTTGGCACCTTCTTTTGCTTTTGGATTTTGTCTTTACCCATCGTTTCCTTCTCTTTTGATCTCCGATTGTATTTTCGATGGAGTTCTCAGCCCTTCTAAAAAGCTAAATGCGATTCTCTGAGCTCTTGGGTGTTTGACTTTTATTTTTCACGCTAGACCCCCAATCCAATCTTTGTTAATCATATATAAATCCTCCAACTTTTAAGTTAGTTCCAAATCAAACCACATCTTTTTCAATCTACACCCCTGAATCTACCATGTCTTCCTAAAACAAGGGTTGCTTCAATATTTACCCCTCAAATCTTTGCTTATTACTGAAGGCACCCCCAAGTCTCCAGTTTTCATTTCAGTATGCCCGCCCTTCACTGAAAACTGACCCGCTATACTGACTAAACTAACCTTTTGTAGCTAATTAGTTATAAACCCCATGTTAATTAACCGCCGGCCCCCTAAAAAAAAGCAATCTGGCGATATTCTCTCTTGAAAACCTGATGACCAGGCCCCCGACCTGTTCCGAGCTCTCCTGCCATTCTTCTCCCCCACTTAATTCTTCTCCCGTGCCTGCATCATGTTTGAAGCATCATTGGTGCCCAAGTGTTTGTAGGAATGCCTCAACGGGATAATAGCAAGCGTGCAGCATGTTCGTTGCTGTGTTTCACATTGTACCAATCTGTTTGTCAAAATGCATCAATGAAGCAGAGCGACGTGCTTTTCAGCTGTCCATGTAGAATACTATCACCCTTACCATATTACAGCAGACCATACGAAACGCAACCATGCAACCATCTAATCCATGTAATTTCAATCTAAACACTGATACACAGTTCTTAACACATCACATGACTAATCCATGTAATTTCAGTCTAAATACGCAGCCTCCCTCTTCAAATTGAAGATGGTAGAATCCAGAAAGGTGAAAAGCATGAATCAGTCAGGTTCGTACATGACCGAGGCCGGTCCGCCATCAACGTCCCTTCATCCATGTCAAAAGTGCACAAATCGCCATCCTCGACATAACGGATGCAGTTCCCTTTCAATCCCAGCTTGCTTGCCAAACAGGATGTTGAACAGCCAGTCGCTCAGAAAGAAAACTCGATCGCCAATTTCCCTCACTGGCTCCCACGCTTCCTTCTCAAAGTCCATCTTGTAAATACCAATGCCAGCTTCTGTTCGACTCCCCAGCAGCAAATTCCTCATGACGAGAAAAATATCTCCGCAGGATTCAACCATGGGACTCCACAGATGCGCATATTCCAGGCAATAGTTCGGGTCTCTCAACTCTGACAAAAGAGGTTTCAGGGCAAGGAGCAGTATGTATAAGTACAAGGTTCTTGCGGAGCGTGATCCCGTAAAATTTTCCATTTAACCTGATGACATTGTTAAGAGCATCCTCCTCTCCGAGATTTTTATTGCAGTCGTGAGGAATCCAACTTTGTTCAGATCCTAGGTTGCAGAAGTGAACTCGCTGGTTGTTGAAGTCAGCGAGCATCACGTCATAATCAGGGTTATTTGGGGATGAAGATAGTATGAGCTTGTGATCCCTGCGGCCCTCAGTATCTTCAAGATTCAGATAAGGTTGCAGGGCTCAGCAAGAAACAACAGGGGGAGAGTCTTGGCCGTGCGCGAGAACCCATCCTAGCGGAGATGGCCAGCAAGTTCTCTACATTTTCAATTTCAGGCACATCTCTAACAGAGAATCCACTCCCATTCAAACCGACAATAGTTTGTGAGAATATGTCATCTTCCTCATGGTAGGAGACGTGGCTCAGGCCTGACATCGATTCTTTCGTCTCTTCCATCGGACTTCCTGTGACATCACGGTTATATGTGTTTGGGAATTTTTTATAAAAAATATACGCGCCAATGGTTATAATTGAATACAAGTATACACTTAGATTTTTCTTTTTTGATCGATTAAAAAGAAAATAATTTCTCATATACTTTAATTCTTCACACAATAGTCATACTTGAATTTTCAGAAGAAAAGATATTGCCTTTAACCTTTTATGACTCAAAAAGGTTTTAGTGAAGAACTTCATTTATTCACTTTTGATTAGATATAAACTTCCAACTATATTCATAAACCGATATCATGATAAACTCAAACTACAACCTTTCTTTTAAAAAGGTCATTATAATGTCTATAAATCTTATAAAACAACCGTTGCAAATAAGCAAAATGTCCACAAAAAACTTTGTAGTAGTGAATGAAGTACATATATAAGTCGAATTCAAATAAAAAACATAACTATTTGAGATTTACATATATAAAACAATCTCCAAGATAGTTATGGTAAAAAACAAAACACTAACTATTTGGTTTGTTGTTTTACATCAAAATTAGGAAAATTGCAAATGAGTTAATAAATTCCCAAATAGTTAATTTTTCAACAGTCTGTATCCTTATTTTATAAAATGTAATGTTTAGTTGATTAGTTTGATGCGCTGAAATGTACTTTATTTCTGATTATTAACACTACGCTATTACTTACAGGAATGTATCATGTGTTATATATACCTTCAGGAAGAATTTTGGGGACTTCTATGATATTTTTTGTAATGTACTTGTTCTATACATTTGTTGAAACTTTATTTGTGTGTGACATCTGTGATGCTCAGTTTCGTGCATTTCGAGTCATCACGAACTATGTCATCTTGCATTGGATCTGGAGTAAAACTGAATGGTTTGAGTGCATACATTTGATTTGCAGATTAAACCTGCTCTGACACTATTTGTAGCGATCCTTTTGGTCATGAATGGTTTGTTCTTGATAAGCGACTTTCTGCATCGTTTTCTTGTCGTGTGTAACAGCTGGGCAAAAGAAAAGATATCTGTTAGATCGCGAACATGAAGATAGCTTAGAATTCAAACATAAATCTCATTAACGATTCAAACATGAAGATAGCATGCACTAGACCTCATGGACATCCAGAGATGGTACCTGCAGAAGAGAAAGAGTTTGATGGCAGATGCTGTTTTGCTCCTCAGAGTATTCCATTGACTTGCAAGGGTGCAAGTACATGCTGCTATTCTATAGAAAGTGAAGAGGAGTACAAGTATGGCAGACAAAAAAAAAGTTATCTCTACAGTATTTGGTATCAGCCCAAAGGAGTAAGATTTCCTCAGAAAGTTACTTTTTGCAGAATTATGTTTTTCTTTAATAAGAACAAAAAAAAAACACTTCGCCGTTTTCCTCCTCTTCAAACTGCAGGTGGTAAAATCCAGAAGGGCGAAAAGCATGAATCACTCAGGTTTGTGCATGGCCATGGCCTGTCCACCATCACAGTCCCTTCATCCATGTCAGCAGTGCACAGATCGCTGCCTTCAACATAGTATATGCAGTTTCCAACATAGTATATGCAGCTTCCCTTTAGTCCCAGATTGCTTACCGAACACGATACTGAACAGTCTCCGCCAACGAAAAAACTCGATCGCCAATATCACTCACTGGCTCCCATGCTTTCTTCTCAAACTCCATCTTGTAAATACCAATGCCAGCTTCTGTTCGGCTCCCCCAGCAACAGATTCCTCACGACGAGAAAAATATCTCCGCAGGATTCAACCATGGAATGCACACACGCACGTATTCCAGGCAAAAATTCGGGCCTCCCTGCTTCGACGAAAGAGGTTTTAGGGCATGGAGCAGTATGTATGAGAACAAGGTTCTCGCGGAGTGTGACCCCGTAAAATTTTCCATTTAACCCGATCACATTGTTAAGAGCATCCTGCTCTGTCCGAGATCATTATTGCAGTCATGAGAGCTCCAGCTTTGTTCAGATCCTGCTCAGTTTGGATTTCTTTTGCAATACGAACGCATGAAACTGTTTTCCGAAGGAAACAAAATACCAACGAGAAATCGGTCGAATTTCTCTCATGAATCTGTTAAAATTACAGAGGAGCATTACAATTTAATAATTTATGGTTGTTACACAATAAGATGTTTGCAAGTAAGTAAGTAGTAAGTCAATACTTGAGGCAGATTTTAATAAATTTCCTAGATTATCACTAATTTCCCAACTACTACAATTAATTCTCGTAGAAATCATGATCGAGAGAGAGAAACAAAAAAAAGAAACACGATGGCTAATGCAATTTACAAACCGATATCTGTTGCAAGATTGAGCTGGAGCTAGTTTTCTAATTGTGATTTCTCAATGTCGTTGTGATTTCTAATAGAATCCTGATTGTATTAATTAGAAAGGCTGCGGGGTTTTTATAAGTTTTGGACCATGATTTTGACTACAATTTGGGATTTCTAGCTAATAGAATCAGGATTAGCTAGGGAGTCTCCATAATTTTTCTTTTATTAGAACCGGAGGAAAGTTCCAATTAGAATCCTGATCGTATTAGAAGTTGGATTAGTTCTCTCTCTCTCTCTATATATATATATCGACCCATAGCTAGTCAGCAAGAGAGAGAGAGAGAGAGAGGGAACTAGTTTTCTTGAGCTTCTGATCGATAATCGATTTTCAAAACTCTGACAGGTATGAAGACCTCGAGCATCGGAAAGCCTTTGACGTCCGGCCTCTCACTCGAGCATGGCCGCCCGTTCGAGTACCCGTCGGGTTCGAGCCGCCCCGTGCTCCGCAACGGGAGGTTCTACCGCCTGGCCAGCGACGGAAGCCTCGCGACGTTCGACCCCTCCCGGGGCGAGTGGCGTGTCCTCGACAGGCCGAGCCCCGTGCACGATGGCGGCGACGTTCTGCGCTGCTCCCTCGTTGAGCGTAACGGGAGACTCACGTCGGTTTTCGTGGAACGGGAGAGCCAGTACGTTAGCGTGTTCAGGCTCGACGAGGAGGAGAACGAGTGGGAGGAGGTGACTTCGTCGTTGGGCGGCGGCGGCCAGGCGCTGATCGTGGGCTATCCAGAGACTCTACTTCGCTCCTCAATCTAAATCACCGTATCTATTTACACTCAAAAGAAAAAAAAAATCATAACCATCAACTAGATAATTAATGGTTGTGATTACGTAACGGTCCCTGCACTATTTTATTCGGTTTATTGGTTAAGCGACGACTACTCTTAATGGCCTATTTGTTTTTTGTACTTTGCTTGTTTGGTTCAAAACAAGAAAATAGCTCATAACTTTATAGAAAATGACAAGATTTGGTAGGTTTTTAATTAAATATGGTATGTGTCAGATTTCTAGTGATTTCCCCTCATTTTGAGAGGAAATTATTTTTTGTAAAATTTGGTAGGTTTTGGTATTTTATATAAAATATTTCTGTAAATTTTTTGTTGAACCAAACACAATTTACAGAACTCTCTGGAAAACTTTCAATTACAAATTTACCATTATCAGATGTTTTGAGAAAAGTTTTCTCAAAAAGTGTGCAACCAAACAGCCCCTAAAACTAAATCATCTTGAAGAAATTATAATCAAATCTGATGTAAAAATATGACCATTTTAGAGGATTAAAATTGCAAACAATTCCCTTGTGTGTTCTCTGGCCTATTTCTAGCTCGCAATCCAATAAGGCTCGATAGCACTTAAAGTACCGTATAGTTCCCTCTACTTTGCACTTGTATATCCTCAATTGTTTTTAGCGGCACTTTATACCTTAAAGTGTTTAAAATTTACACTTTAATACCCTCAATTATGTGGGAATGAGAATTTCCCCAAATTTTTCATACGGCCATCACATGCCAATTTTAGAACACATTTTAGCTCTTAATAATCGTTAAATTCACCATTAAACCTATCGAAATTCCATTTAACGTTAGAATTAGAGTAGGTTTAAAATGAATTAACGCTAGCTTCAACAGTAAATTTAGCAAAAATTAAGGCTTAAAAGCATCTATAATTAGTATGTGGGTTCGAATAAGAATTTCCAGAGATAATTTCTAGGAGGGTATTTAAGTGCAATTGTAAAACGTTTTGCGGCATGTAAGTGCTACCTGGAGCAAAAGTAAAGCTACAAAAGCGCATAGCTGAAGAAATTGTTGGGCATTTAAGTGCAATTAAGCTAATAAAAAGATCATGGCCCAACATACATTCACAAAGCCCATTAGAGCTACAAAAGCCCAAAAATATAGCCTGCAGTCTTTCATACCAAAAATCATAAATACGTTAAACTTCTCATAGATATTGGGAGAGATAATAATTAATTCTCCTATATCAAAAGGCTTCAGATAAAAAAAATAGTTAAAGTACACCCTAGCCTGCACCCTACGAAAAATTGACCTTGGAGTTTAATTTACTCTGCTAAAACTAAAATTTAAAAAGGGTTTAGTGAGAATCAACCCCCAACTCAATTTTTGACACGGGTATAAAGAGGCGGTTTGAGTCTGGAAACGAGGGGAAAAAAATAGAAAATCAAAATCCAGGATTAAAAATATGAACACAGGTGAGATAAACCCTAATCCTTATCAATGTCATTTTTCTTAAATTAAAAGTTCAAATTTCTTTAACTCCTATAACTTGATTATACGTGAAGTAATTGAGAATCCTTAATTGATTAGAATTACCCAATTCCTAATTTAATAGGAATCGTGATTGTATTGCTAGTTGGGTCTAAATAGTTTTCAAACCCCAACGGGGTTTCTCAAGCTCGAGCATACATTTATTCGAGTTAAATAAAAAAAAAAATCATAAAATTATGCATCTAATTAAAAATAATAATGGCACCAGCCCAACATGCATCTATTCGGCCCATGGGTTGATGGAAATCCAAAAAACTGTGATATTTTTCTTTTTAATTTCCCACCTGGGCCCCACATCCACGGAGTACGGAACAAAAAACAAAAAAACAAAGCATCAATCAAAGATCCAATCTTTAGGGTTTTCCCGACTCCCCTCCCCCCGCCCCCATCATCTCTTCGCAGCCTCTGATCTGCTGATCTTCTTCTTCTTCTACCTCTGTTGAATTTTATTTTATTTTTTTTAAAAAAAATTATTTAACCATCACCGTTATCTCGGGATGATGATCTGGTAGGGTAAGCGTCTCGTTGATTTCGTTCTCCTTTTCATCCTCCGTTTCCCCCTCGGCTGTCTGACCTGGGATCTCTGCCAATCGATCGAGCTGAAGTGGATTGCTAGATCTAAAGTTCCCAACAAGAATTCGTTCGAGGAATTCGCAGGAGATCTCTGCCCCCCCTCTCCGCGAATTCGATGCGGATCTAAGAGAGGTAACCTCCACGGCCCCTACCCCCATCATGAAGCTCGATTTGATCGATCTTATTAGATGGTAATTGATTCGAAATTATTTATTAGATGGTTAAGCTTGGCTTTTGATTAGCTTCTTGTTAGATGATGCTGTTTTGAAGATGGGCGCATGCCCAATTTCTCATGTATTTTTCGACAAGTTGAGAGGTAAGTGGGGTTTGTGACCGCCACGGGTAATCTCCAGTTTGTTGAGGGCTTGCCAGGGTTTGATAGGTTAAGGGCAGGGCCGGATCTGAGATTTTAGGGGCCCTGTGCGAAAAGTAAACACAGGACCTTTCTCTATATACAAAATATCAATAAATTCCAATTCGAATCCCTAAAATGCTAAGGAACAAAATGTTACTGATCAGACATTAAAATGTTACCTGATTTTTTGCATCTGTATAGTCTTTAACATACTTTTCAAGTGTTATTGCTCATTCTTCATCTCTTTGGTCGCCTGAATATTACTGATAAGATAAATGCATGTAATCCCACATTAATAAAGCTTTCCAATAGAGCAAATAGTCCACAATAAAAAATACTTGCATATTATGTTTCTCTTGTATTAATAAAGCTTTCCAATAGAGCAAATAGTCCACAATAAAAAATACTTGCATATTATGTTTCTCTTGTATATGTGCTTACCTTCATGAGAGATATCGAAGCTTTTAGCATAAAAAAGTATCATCGAAAAATTGTCCTCCTTGCATTTTTAGCTGCAAAATCACTAATTAAGCCCTTAACATCAATTTTATCTATAAAATCATTTTCAATAGATATCAAAGCTAGTCCATTTAGTCTTTCTTGTGACATGGTCGATCTCAGATAAGATTTTAATAATTTTAATTTTAAAAAACTTCTTTCTGCAGATGCGACTGTAACATGTATAGTCAATAATATTCTATAAGCAATACATGCATTTGGAAAACAATTTCGTATTTTTAAGAAATTCAGTATATCAATAGCCATCTTTGTTTCTTTTGGTAAAATATTTTGTAAGATTTTTAGTTCTCCAAGTACAGTGTGCAAATTAATTTACAGTATATCAATAGCACATATATGTTGACATGTTGTGTTCACAAGTACAGTGTGCAAATTAATTTACAGTCTCCAGTCTCGACCGAAATTAGGGTTTTTTTTTCACAAGTACAGTGTGCACATATATTAGCAACCAGTTCATCAATAGCAATAGGATTCCTGCACTACCGAAATTAGGGGGTTTTTTTGCCCGAAAGCTCTCAAATTTTGGAGACTGGAGAGTTACCTGATGATCCTATTCCTTCTGAGTCTCCAGTCTCGGCGTGAAGGGGGAACACGAGGCGTCGAGGACGAGGTTCGGTGGCGATCGCGGCCGCGGGCAGCGAGCGAGGCGTCTCGCGGTGTGAAGCTCGCGAAGAGTGCGACTCGGGCGAGAGAATCTCAGAATCTGCGATTTCCGGGAGGGGCGAGGCGAGCGGGTGAGTCTTGGGCGACGGGCGACGGCGATCACGGGGTCGTGGTGAGCGGAAGCCGCGGAAAGAGGAGGAACGGAGGAGAGACGGAGGAGAGAGACATGAGAGGCCAGAGGGGGGTGGAGTGGATGTTGGGGAGCTTGAACTCTGGGACTGAGAGTTGAAGTAAGGATTTAGGGTGTTGGGTATTGAATGGACGGCCGAGATTCATTGAGAGTAGAAAATGACGTGTAGGATAGGGGTGAATGGATGTTTTGGGGCCCCAATTTTTGGCGGCCCTGTGCGATCGCTTCTATGTTGC